TTATACAAAAGGTTGTATCATGTGCAAAAGCATCAAAACAGGGGTGGACAGTGTATCCATTTCCCTTCACTTGCCGACGCCCGTCTGACTATGTCCTCACCTAGGTCCTGCAAAAACATAGAAAACAACAGGGTGAGCACAACTAAGGCTCAGTAAGTAAATCTTCTACTCATCTATCCCCGTAACTCTCTCTAATTCTTTCCCTACAATTCTCATTTACTCTCTCTCTTATAATCTCTCTGTTTTTCTCTTTCTCGTAACTCTTCTCTACTAACTCTCTTTAGTAAGTCACGGCCCCATCTTACCAGAGGCACGGCCAAGACTCGCTCCCGCTCTCCGTGACTTCTACTCATTCTAGCCGATCGGACTCGATTATGTAGGGATTTGGAACCCTTGGCCATGTGAGCGTATAAACTCTCTCTCGGGTACTCTCAGGTATAGCCCTCATCCGCATGTACTCTCACGGGCTACACCACTTCTCTCTCTCATACTCATGCCGCTCTCTCAATGCGGCTTACATGCGTGAATACTCTACCCATTACTCACGGGTTCCCATCGCACAACCTACTCTATTCTCTTTTTCTCTCTTTTCTCAAGTTCTCTACTCTTTATATAATGCATAATTCATGCATATGGATGGTTCATGCTCATTAATGTACTCATGAAAAGCACAAATGCATTATTGCATCAAAGACAGTCATTCTGCACAAGTCACACTCAAAAAGGCATCACTTGAGTTATACACATCAGATTGCTACGATTTTTATCTCGTTTAAAGCTTATAGACAGGGCTATAACTTTTATGTTTTGGTCTAAACCCAGTTCAATCCGTAAGATGCCCAAAAATCACTCACAAAGTCACGGCTGTGACAGGGCAGTTTGGTAACATGTTTTGTTCCCTAGTGAGAAGAGAAAAGAGGAACCTCACAGAGAAGCAAAATGGCAACACACCAAACCCCAACGGCATCTTGACTTGTTTACCATATTTGAACAACACTTTGCTTGATTTGTTTGGTTTTGACTGCTCTCCCCTTCCTCCCATCTTCTTCTTCTTGTTTTCAGTCTGATTTGGTTTGGATTCGCTGGCGAATGGGTTTCGGTCGCGTTTTAGGGATTTTAATATCGGGGTTTTTTTTGTTATTTTTGCAAACTTTTTGTTTTGAAAATTTCAGTTTAATCCCCATACTTTACAAAAACACCTAAAACCCCCCTAATAATTCGAGCCTGGCTCGGCTCGCGAGCCTACCGAGCCGAGCCGAGGCAGGCTCAAACTCGGCTCGTTCTCTCTAACGAATCGAGCCAAGTCAGCTCGATACCAGACGAGGCGAGCCGTTAACGAGCTATACTCGAGCCGAGCCGAGCCGAGCCGGCTGGCGAGCGGTTCGCCTCGTTGAACAGCCCTAGTTTTGTTCCTGTGATTACATGTTACATGTTAACTAGAATAGCACAGTAATTGACAAACTTCTCTTTCTTATAAAAAAAACATAAGGTTTTGCCTTAATATGTTTCTGTAAACACAATTATGACAAACGATACGCCATGCAACTAATATGTCAACTCATGGCCAACTAATACGCCAACTTGCACGCCAACTCAGGGGAATTAGCCTATAAATAAGGCCATTCATCTCACTTGTAAATCATTCACCACAATCTTGTAAAGATTCTCAATACATGGAGTTTTTCAATTAAACTCAGCCCATGACAAGTGGTATCAAAACAAACCCTATTTGTCTTTCGATGTCCCGTTAGGCACCCATGCAGAGGGGCATCCATGTGTGATTGATGGTCCACTTGAAGGTGAGATGGACAAGTAGGTAGGAGGCCCACCTGTGATGAGGGCGTCACAAGATTGGGTGAGGGAGAATGTCACATATCTTAAATCGGAAGATAAATGAGGTGGTCTTGGGTTTATAAGGGGAGAGTCTCTTCACCTAATAGATTAGCCTTTTGAGTGTAAAACTCCTAGCCCGTGACAAGTGCTATGTCCAAAAAACATCTCTTTCTCCCTTAATCAACCCTAAACACCAATTAGAAGCAACATACTCAACTCCTTCTCATTCTACAAACATAGAACATCATCATTTTCCAACTCCAACCAGAAATATCACACTATTCATCAAACATGAACTTCATCAACCCATGTGATTGGATTTTCACTATTTCTAAACAACTCAAAAGTGCACATTAACATACAATACACTCTCAACATACATTTCTTATTGCAACCAATTTAAAACACAACTACATTCGATTACAATGGTTACACTCGAATTAGAGGAACTCTGAAAGTAATTAAAAGACTCTATAGATGCAGGCTACATCTAACCATCCGAGGCCCCATTTGGGGCACTGGTCTTGTTTCAAAAGAAAATGGATGGAAGTTTGCTAATGTGCATAGACTGTTGAGCTCTCAATAAGGTAACCATACAAAACAAGTATCACATTCCTCATATTTTGGACTTGCATGCCAAATTAAGTTGGGGAAGATGTCAGTTTGAAAGGCCAATTGACCCAAAAGCCCAACAAGCCAAAATTTCTTTTAGACATGCAAGTTGGAAGGAAGCTTCATGGCAAGTTGCATGCCAATAATAATGGAGGATTAGCCTGTAAATAAGTCATTCACCCTCGCTTGTAATTCATTCACCACACATTCCCCAAATCATCACATATTTTGTAAAGATACTCAATATATAGAGTTTTAAGCTTTGGCTCTACACCTTCTCTACATTTCTCTCTTGCTGTTTATTATTTAAGGCTTTCACTTGAGTTAGGCGGAACCGGTACTCATCCATCACATAAACTCAAGTTACTAGTGTCATACAGGTTTTCAATTAAACTTAGCCCCTGACACTATGATTCCTATACGGTAATAACGTAATATCTCATATACATAGATCAACTGATGCTTGGAGATGGAGCATGGGGAACAGTGTCGGTCTGCATTAGATCCCCAAGTGAAGGAAAAGCTTGTACAATACCAGGTATAGATCCCAAATCAGAAGCTGCTTACATCAACACGATTATGCCTTCTGCAGATCAGAAGGTTTGGTTGAAGAATTTTTTTGAGTGAATTTCTATTTGGTGAAGTGAAACTTGCAGCCAATTTTATTTCTTTCAAAACCATTAACTCTCTTAAAACAAACACTTACATAAAAACGGAAGCAACTAAATTGATAACAGGAGCAGTATGCAATTTAGAAAGGTGCAATTTTTCAAGCACTTATACTGACAAGAATACAAATATATATGTCAAATTTCTCAGGTTCATAATCTGTGGCTGGTATATTTTCTGGTTTATACAGTCCAAGTCAGCATGGATTTTCTATTGGCCAGATTGGTATAGAATTGGACGGTGAGATGAAGAAGTTGTAGAAATTGTGATGCTAAACTTTGAACTTTTTCGGACTGCATTTGATTTATATATTTATGAGCGAAACAAGCAGCAGTGTGATAAAGTATTAAGATACAGCATATAAATTAATCAAATTTTTCTGAGTTCAAGTGCTCCCAGACACTAATAGGGGTGGTTACTGGAGCTCTTATCTGACAGATAATTTCAAGGTCTCGCGGGATTAATTGATGGGCGCATAAACTGATCTGGACACTTCTAATAATTTAAAAAAAAAAAAAAAAACCAGTGATATATCATATAATATGACATTCAGTAAGATTGGCTAATAATCCATTGTTAATAAATTTATGAGAATTAAGTTTTCTTTCTGGATTTTTTTAACTACATTCATCCACATCATGCCTCTGTAACGAACCAATGGTTCAATATAAAGTAAGACCAAAAGAATCTCATCAGTTCAATCTAACCGCAGCTAGGCCCGATTATTAAAAACTCAGGTTTCCTGACGGGCTTGGGGTTGCTTTTATAAAATGTACCACGGGCCTTACCCAGGCAAGCCCAGCCCGGACCCTAGGTAATCCTTATGAGATTATGATTCAATGGTAATTATAAAGAGAAAAATTTAGTCGATAGTCCTTAGCTTATTAAAATCTTATAACTTGAGATTATGGTTTAACTGTGATTATTATCAAAAGAATGATCTAATGAAGGAAAAAATTTACTTGATAGCTGTTAAGTCTTTTTTTTTTTTTTATAATAACTAAGGTATTTAAGTTTGTTTATTCGCATTTCAACTAAATTATTAGTAGGATAGGAGCTCCAATGGTCACCCCTATTAACAATTGAGGAGAGAATTGCACTAAATACTTCTTAAAAGTCCAAATCGAAGATGAGATTTAGTTTTTTTGTTGGAAAACTATATTTGTAAAGGCTACCAAGATTTTTGTTGAGTAATGATAGTAGGATTGAAATCTTATTAGACTATTACAATTTGAGATTTAGTTTAACGATGATTTTGATGGAAATATTGATCTAAGGGCAATTTTCAAGTCAAAGCTTTATTGAAAAATTACGAAGCTCAAATAAAGCAAATAAAGATTGAGAGAGGATCCTGATCATACAAGAAACTTGAGGGTATTCACATTAAGGACAAATTTGTCATTCCAAACTGAATTCATCTAAATCTTTTAGCATCAATATATGTATTATTTGATGCCATATATATTGGCTATATAAAAATAAATTCAATATTAATACAATATAAATGCTGGCTATGTTTGCCAAATTTATTTATTTATCTTTTGAAAAGAGCAAGTACAATATTCAATAAAAAATATTGTTTGTGTCAATTAGACATGAAATTAATTTGGGTTCAATTTATATTTTTGTGGCTAACATATTTACATGGATTTAATTATTTGATCTCATTTTTCAATTAAATAATTTGAGTCAATTTTATTTATTTATTTTTCATCTCCCCCAATTTCTCTACCTTTATTCAATTCCAACGATTCTCAAAATCTGGTTCCAACGACCTGCATAATTTGGAAAACACAAAAATATTAATCATACACAAATAATAATAATAATAGAATTCAATTTACAAACCTACAGAGATAGAAATAGTCTTGTAACCTTTTCTCTTTTATATATACTATAACCAAACTACACAAAAGGTTTGAGATTTTGAACAATCAAAGTTATGAAACAATAAAAAAAAATGACATAATTTTTTTTTATTTTTTTATAATCTTTTAACAGAAGCTGTATAAAAGCAACCTAAAAAACTAAAAGTCGGTAACCATACTATGGGTCATAAAGATTATGTAACAAAGAATTTGTGTAGAAGAACCAAAAACTATAAGGTGGAAGAAAGCTTCTTGCTAATTAGCTAGCTATAGTGAAGTGACTTGGGGTTTCGATAAATTTTCTTCCTGGTAAAGTAACCGCCTCTTCTTTGAACCATAACCTTGGTACTGGTAGATAATGCTGTGAAGGCACTGCTTCAGGCTCTTGATATTGAATGTCTCGATGAACTTTAGGTCTGTTGTCCTGGATTTCCGGCCGGCAAAATGCTGGTACTCCTCAAACACAGAAGATAGGACCCAGTTTTGCAGTTTTCTCAAGCAACCAACAAGGCAACCCGTCCGATGCTGGAGTAAAGCAGAAGATAGAATATGAGAAGTGACTTTATATAGACATCGAAGTTAAGACTGTATAGAAAAGCTAAAAGATTTCATCAAGATACTTATTGATTGAACCAGAAAAGCATTCAGATAGTTTGTGATGCAAACAAATGAAGCATAAATATTATGGTTGCAACAGAGAATTTTTGTAGTTTTGATGAACTTTCAAATGTTTATACGCTGGTCACTTTAAATCCAAAATTAGAAAGAAAAAAACACCCAGGCAAGAATAAATTTTATTTGAACAATCAACTAATCTCCTTTTACAATTTTTAAAGGGACTGTCATTGGCTATTGATTTAAAGCCAGTAAAAGTTCCGTAAGCAGCATGAAGAAAAGATGATTGCCAAAGAAAAGTTTCTTTTCAAAATAAAATTTACACAAGTGAAAGCATAAAAAACCATCACTTAAGAGTGAACAGAGATAGCAAATGAAATTTCAGAAATAATCAAAAGATAAAGGAGCAACTTGTTTTTAAAACCTTCAAACAGTTCATTGATATCAATAGGCAACAAGCAGATGCAAACATGAATTTAGACAAGCGGCATGCCCCAACATGTCAACAATGCTGCTAAAATTTGAGTTATTTGAAAAAAGTGCACTGATCATTTGCAACATGCTATTTCACACAATGCATCAGTCATTCACACCAAATCTAAGAGCAAAACACTTCAATTATTGAAAATACTGCAAAGAAGGTGAGATGTGCTTTAGCTAACATACCTTTCCACGGTTGCAATGTATCAAAACTGGATGATTTCTCACATCTGTAGAAATCAACAAATATATATATACATAAGTCAAGAGCAAAAGAAATAGAACTAGAAGACAGCAAAATATTACAGTTTAAACTTAAATAAAAAAATCTTCTAAATACCAATTAAAATTTTCAAAGCAGCCATGATAGTATCCCTGGGAACACATACAAGGGGATCCTGCAGATGCATATTCAATATCAGCAAGACAAATATAGCGACCAACTCACCACACTTCCAAGTTTCAATTCGAACATATCACCACTAATTATGCTAAGCAAATAAAGTTTCCAACAACATATCAAAATCATGATTAAATAAGAAAAATATAATGTCATGTTTTCATCATTCTCCATCCGATCCAACTAATCTCTAACTTGCAGTATCATTACCCCATGTGAACCGTCTGATTGGCTCCACACAAAATAATCCGATGGTTTACATGGGGGCTAACGCTCTTTCAATCCAGTCTCGCCCCCCAAACAAAACCTTAATAAGCTTCTCTCCACACATTAATCTACCAGAAAATCTTCCACAACCCTTTACTCTGGTCCGTCTTTTGCCGAAATTTTTTCATCTTGCAAAATAATTAAATCCAAATTCTTTAAAAACAATTAACGCAAACTTTTAATCATCATTTGGACACGCCATTCTACCATATCAAGAAGCTATTATATTATAGAATTTTCCAAGTTCATGAGCAAGCATAAAATCACACAAAAACTAAATTAAAAACAACAAAAAGCAAAAGCGTTACCGTTTTGCCTTCAATTCCAAACTGAAAGAGTTGAATATTCTGAGCTCCAAGAAACTTCAAATTTTCTTCAGGGTAAGGCTCCGGACACAAATATCTGCTCACATTAATCAATTAATCAATAATTAATTAAAATTTAAACCCAAATTATCCGAAATTAAATTAACCAAGATTGTGAATATAAAATTTAATAAAAATTAAAAGAAAAAACAATCCAGAATTCAAAATTAAAGAAAAAACTCACATAATGGATCGAAGATTTAGGGTTTTCAAGAACCCGAAATTTTCGGGTCTGGGGAACCCGGATCGGTAAATGCCGTCTTCAACCATTGAGAAATTCGTAGGCAGAACCAACACGTCGTCGTTCTGGTGCTCTCCGTCTACAATCAAACACATGGTTTCGTTTAAAAATTTTCTCTTTTGAGTTTCAGAGTTTGGGCGAAAGTAATGGAGAATTTAAAGGAGGAGGAGGGGGAGAAAGATCAAGAGGGAGAGTGAAAGCTCAAAACGGCGGCGTTTGGAAGAAATCTGTTAGGATTCTGATTCTAGGTGGGTCCGAATCCGAAACTGAAAAGTAATTTAATGATGGGAACCGGAGAGGAGTTTATAAAGTAAAAGTTTTGGATAATATTTTGATTTTTTTATTAATTTAATTTTTAATTGTTAATTTTAATTTAATTAGGACTAGAAGTTGCTAAGTAAGTTCTTAATTCTAATGTTAATCAAAGACTAATATTACCTAAAAATTTGTGTTTAATCTTATTTTTAATTCTAATTTTTTTATTGGAAATATATGAAATTATCTTTTTTATTGTTTAATTGATTGATTCTATTTTTAAGACGAAAAACTGGAAAATACAAATAATTACATGGATAAATAAATTTTTTTTTAATAATGATATATATATATTTTTTAAATTGTTTGATAATAAACAAATTCTTGTATTATTATTATTATTATTATTATAAAATAAAATTTTAGTAGTTGAAATGTGTTTAATATAAGATTTAAAACTTGTTTTTTTTTTTTTATTAGTAATTATAAAAACAGAGGAATGATTTTTAATTATTTTCTAATATTGCATTTGTGTTTATGGTTGTATTTGAAAACTATTTTGTGAGAATTCAACTATTTGACCTAAAACATATTCTTGTCATTGCTGTTTGTGAAACAAAAATAGTTAACCGTCTGTTTTTATTCAAATTATTTTTGAAAACAAAATTAACAAAAATAATGAAAAACCCTAATAATTCTATATAGGAGATTTTGTACAGCAGAGATCTCTTACATATCAGGTTGTATAGATGTTAAGTATTATTTACAAACGTATTAGTTTGCTACAGGTGTTCAAGTAAAATCTACCCAATTTGAATATATTAAAGTGTATTGTACGAAAATAGAGGTTTTTTTTTTTTTAACCCAAAAATAGAGTTTTATGAAAAAAAAAATTAATATTAATTTGATAAATTTATATTATCATTAATAGTAAATCACCAAAACTCATGGTTTAAAAATTTAATAGAATGTTAAAAGTAAATCACCAAACCCTAAACCTTTGAAATTTCAAATTTTTAGGTGTTAATATCTATTTTAATTGTGGTGGTTTAAACCTTTTATTAGTATTTGTGAAGTTAGTGATCGAACGCTCACCTTTGGTTTGATGTCCCTACTTTAGTATATATATATATATATATATATATTATATATATAACACAAATTAAGATGACTAAAACAAAATGATTTGTTGGTAATTGAAGAGTTGCGGCTTGACAATGAAAGGGGCAAGAATATAGACTAGAAACGTCAAGTTGGAATGTGAAGTGTCAAGGTCATATTTAGTACTAGGTTCAAATTGAATAAATTTTTTTTTTTTTTTTTTTTTTTAAATAAAATTCCGAGTGGGGAATGTGAATGTGAATGTTGTTTGAATTCTGTGTTTGAAATGAGATGTGTGCTTTCAATTAGCACATCAAAGTTGAATCTTTTGTCATTTTAAGTTTTTTTTTAATATAAAAGTATAGGTACATCTTCGAATTGAAGTCACATTTGAAATATGCTGCGTGTTATGTTTATCTGTATAGTTCGAGGTAACAATGATAGAATTATTGATTATTAACCTCGGTGCTGAGAGTGGCGATAAGAATTTATAGAGTATTATTTAAGAGGTCTTAGTTCGATTTTCTGTGGTTGCTAATAAGAATGGTCAAGGGGGTTTACAATTGTTAACTTTAAGGTCTTGGATGATAGTAGGGTGCTCGCAAGACTAACCAAAATATCCCAGTCGCAAAAAAAAAAAAAAAAAAAAAAAAAAAAAAAAAAAAAAGAATTTATTGGATTATTGTTTAAGGTTTAATTATATCATGAGTAAACGATTTAGATGAAGAATAATGTTTATCTTGTAACGAAGTTCGACCCGTTATTACAATTTCAGAAACAGAATTCTTGGACTTTTTTTTTTTTTTAAACTTAGAAAGTTAGAATAGTTGAAAGTTTCAAATTATTCAACCAAGCGGTATTGCTAGTAAATTAGTAGACATATTTTGAGTATTTTACAAATATTTATAATTTTAAAAATAAATTTATATAGATAAATGATAAAAGATATTTTATTAATAATCTTATCGAAATCCAATTCTTGAAACAATTTGAAAACTTTTTTTTTTTTTTGGTGTTCTCACAAAAGTTATCCTCCAAACAATAATACTCCTTATAAAAATATAATAAACAATTACTTAAATCTTAGATATTAATTTTGAAAAGGTAAATATATAAAAATACCCTCAATAAATTGACTGAATCAAGTCCAAGTAGATAGAGTGAGTTAAGGTTATCCATTTGACATGTCTAAGAAAGATCTATTTTCAACATGTGCTTAAAAATAGACTACCAACCAAATAAAAAGCTTTCAAATAACATATTTATTTAATTTTTCTCATTTTAAATACAAACTAATATGACATAAAATAAACGAAATGATACAAATAAAAAAGTTAGATTAATAAATATTTAATAAATGAGAATAAATGATGCGATAATAAAATAATAATGTCATAGTAATTTGTAATTATCTTAATCATCGTTAATTTGAAAAATATTATCTTAATCTTTATCATATTATTATTATTTTTTTAATAATGATATTTTTTTTTAAATAGTTTGATAATAAACAAATTCTTGTATTATCAATATATATAAAAAAATTTAGTAGTTGAAATGTGTTTAATATAAGATTTAAAACTTGTTTTTTTTTTTTTAATTAGTAATTATTTTCTAATATTACATTAGTGTTTATGGTTGTATTTGAAAACTATATTTGTGAGAATTCAACCTATGTGATCCAAACACATTCATGTTATTGCTTGTTTGTGAAAACAAAATTCAGGTTAATCGTCTTGTTTTCATTTCAAACTTATTTTTGAAAACAAAATTACCAAAAATAATAAAAATCGCCACCTAATAATTCGTAATATATGAGATAATTTTGTACATGCGGAGATCTCTTACTATATTAGGTCGTTATAGAGAGTTTTTTTTTTTTTTTAACCCAAAAAAATAAGAGTTTTTTGAAAAAAAAATAAAATGTCAATTATTTAATTTGATAAATTTATATTATCATTTTAACAGTAAATCACCAAAACTCATGGTTTAAATAATGTTAGAAAAACTTTGAAATTTCAAATTTTAGTTGTTATTAATTCTATATAATTGTGGTGGTTTTATAATTCTATATTCAATATTATGAGTTATAAGTTTTATATCATGAAATTTATACTATGTTCTAATTAATTATAAAATTTCTTCTGTTTCCGAGACCAAGGCGTTACCATTTTATCAAATCTTAGTGTTCGGGCTAGATTTAATTTTAGTTTTGTGAAGTAGTATTGAACGCTCGCCTTTGGTTTGATATCTCGATTATATATATATATAAACAAATTAAAAGTGGGCGGCTTGACAATGAAAGGGGTAAGAATTTAGACTAGAAAGTCAAGTTAGATCAAAAAGAGGTGAAAAAATAAAAATAAAAATAAATTATTGAAGTAGTCAGGGTCATCTCATTGAATAAAGACTAATTTTTTTTAATTTAATTTAAATTTTCCAGGGGGGAATGTGAAGTGAATATTGTTTTTGAATTCTTTGTGATAATGAGATGTGTTGCTTTCAATTAGCACATCAAAGTTGAATCCTTTTGTCATTTTAAGTAATTTTTTTTTTATTTTGCTAAGAAGAACATTCCTAATTTAGACATAAGCAGAGGTGTCAAATGGGACCTATATATTATGTTATATCTTGGCTTAGAGTCATTTTGAAATTATGCGGTGTCTATGTTTATACCTATAGTTTGAGATAATCCTGATATGAATTATTAGATTTTTAACCACCCTTGGGTGCTCGAGAGGGAAATTATTTTTTCGGTATATATTTAAGAGGTTGAATCGATTCTCTTTGATTGTAATAAAAGTAGCCACGAGAGTGTTTGCCCGGTCGTTAATTTAAGATTTTGAAGGATTAATCGAAGTGCATTCGAGCTGGTGTAGACACTTTCGATGAAAAAAAAAAAAAAAAAAAATTTATTGGATTATTGGTTAAGGTTGGATTAGACCATGATTAAATGATTTAATTTATTCTTGTAACGAACCGAAACCTGTTATTATAGTTACGAAAAAGGAGTTCTTGGACATTTTTTTTTTTTTTTTAAACTTAGAATAGTTGAAAGTTTCAAATCATTCAACTACGCAGCTATTTGTTAGTAAATTAGTAGACATATTTTGAGTATTTTACAAATATTCATAATTTTAAAATTAAATTTATATAGATAAATAATAAAAGAATATTTTGTTAATAATTGTATAGAAATCCGATTCTACCATTGAAACGATTTGAAACTTTTATACATACCTCCAAACGATAATACTCCTTCTAGAAATATAATAATTATTTAAATCTTAAAAATCAATTTTGAAAAGGTAAATATATAAAAATACCCTCTATAAATAGAACATTGAAATGAATAGAGCATACGTCTAAATTGACTGAATCAAGTCCAAGTAGATAGACTGAGTTCAAGTTATCCATATGACATGTCTAAGTCTAACAAAGACAACAAGACCTATTTTCAACATGTGCTTACAATAATATTTTTATTTAATTTTGTTATTATAAGACAATATAATATTATACATACAAACTAATATAGCATAAAATAAATGAGAGTTAAGATTAATAAATATTTAATAAACGAGAATAAATTATCATCATTAATATTAAGGAAAAATGAGAATAGTTTTTTTCGTTAAAATTAACTTGTAATTATCTTAATCATCATTAATTTGAAAAATATTATCTTAATCTTTAATGTATTAGGTTTTTTTTTTTTTTTTTTTTAAAGAAAATTAAGTGATTAAAGGATTGTACAAGTTACACACTATAACTCTCCCTAAAAATAAAAACACCTCAAAAACTCTTTTATACCCAATTTATCCTCTTTTCTTTGAGCGTGTTATATTAGGTCACATATTATGTCATATTAATAATGTAACAAATTATAAAATTAATTAA